TTTTCATATTTGTAATCTTGCTACATTAAAGTTAAAACCTTCCTTTTTATTTAGGCAGAAAAGAGGAGGTGATGTGGGATTCCCCTCTGAATGGTGTGAATATCATTAGTTTATAAAGAAACTGTCTTTGGCCTGTATAGGGAAGATTAGAGTTAAGTGGGGGAGGGACTAAATTGAATGCTGGGAGAAAGAAGGTGGAGTCAGGGATTCACTATGGTGCTGCTAGACAAGAAATATGCAAACACCAGATGGAACTTTACTTTATTGGTAGACCACAAGCCTTGTTGTAAAATATGAAATACTGGAAATGGGTTAATTCTAGATGTAAGAGCTAGCTGGCAATACACTTAAGTGATTGACTAAGCAGTGACTCAAATATTATAGTTTCTGAGTGATTATTTTGAGGCTGAGTAGCCAGGAACAAACAAGTGGCCTCCTTGCTACAATCAGTCCTCTGTCTGATATGGGGTTGGTGAAGATCTTTTCCCATGCAGTAGGCTGACTTTTTGTCTTATTGACTGTGTCCTTTGCTTTACAGAAGCTTCTCAGTTTTGGGAGATCCCATTTACTTATTGTTGTTCTCAGTGTCTGTGCTACTGGTGTTATATTTAGGAAGTAGTCTCTGAGCCCATGCACTGAAGGCTATTTCCTGTTTTCTCTTCTATCACATTCAGTTTTCATATTTCAAATTAATCATCTGACTTTAAAACAGATATTGAAGCTTTTTGGCAATGAGAGCATTTCTCATTTTATATGAATGAGATAGGGGCAATTAACTTCTGAGTGCCTCATTTCATTAGCACCAATACCTCAGCTAAGGTTCACAAGGTCAGTCATCATGATATGGGAGTAACATGTGATGTGCTTATGTTTCAATTTAGGTAGTCAGTACTTGACAGAACCTACTACACCCTCATCCTATTATAGCAGATTATTATCTTCTTTATGTCTACATATGAAGATTGCCTATCTTTTTCTCACATGCTATGTGTGTGCATGTGTGTGTACATGTGCACATGAATGTTTGGGTTCAAGGTTGATATGAGAATTTTTCTTGATCACTCTCTACTTTACCCTTTGAGGCAGGGACTCCCTAATATGATATTATCTCATCCATACAGCTAGTAAGTATAGCTAGTGATCCCTGTATCTGCCTTTTGAGCACTGAATTAGAAGAGATTTACCAGGCCTATTGGCATTTATTTAGGTCCTAGGGATCTGAACACCAAACCTACACTCCGGGCACATCCATTAACAGTGGGGTTATCTTACCAGTCCCTGGTCAAGGATTTTACAGCAAGCAAATGGCAAGAGTATAGGATAGGAAGGAAGATTACAAAATTATTACCTGCTATGTGTTTGCAAAACCTCCTCTAACAAAATGCTTCACTCAAAATATACCTAATTTCTAAGGGATTGTACATGCTAAGAAGAAAGTATTGAATTTTAACTGAAGACTCCTTCTGGGACTCTAATAAATATGATTCACTAATGGATTGCATAACTGCTTTCATCTCCTTCTCCACAAAAAGGATTATTATACTGATTTCTTCCTTAATTTACCATAGGGAGTTAATGTTCTATTATGTATTCAGTTCAGGTACCAAAATAATGTAATACTATAGAAAACAAATTGAAATATTCTGGGTAGAAGGCAAGTAATTAACATTGCTTCATTTGGGTTTTACTGAGTGAAAAAAATGTGTCTTATAAGTAAAAAACTTGTTTGTTCAAATCTATTCATCTTCCGTAATATAGTTATAGTATTCACAATTTTCTCTGCTTCTGCTGATTTTTCTTTTGAATGTTCAAACTGGTTATAATTTCTACTTACAATAAGGAAAATTGTTACATAATATTACACAGAAATAACCTAATCCCTCCCTAAGGTCTCTGAGGTACACTAAGATTTATGATCTGCAAATTTTGTTTAGTTAGGTACAATATATGAATCACCAAATTTAGCTTATAATGTGCTTCTATTGCTGTTATTTTGAAATTGCATAAACCCCAAGCTGGCATTCTACCCCAACACAACCCTGGGTCACAAATGGACAGAACATTCTCATTGTGAGGTATATGATGTGCACTCTCAGTTCCTCAGAGTCTATAAGATGTGACCAGGCTAGAAAGTGCAGGACTGATGAGAGAGGTGTATGTGCAAAGAAAGAAAAGGAGGGTAAGTTTCTAAGTATGCCAGGAATGCTATTTTCTAAGTCACAATTACTTTTTACTTAGTTAACAAACATATAACCCAAACAACCTCTTTACTTTTAACACAGAGCATATCTACCAAACCTTTCATTCAGATGTTTACAATAAACATTTTAATTATCCTAGATATGGACGGAGGTGGGAGGTCCTAGGTCTTACCACAGGGCAGAAAACCCTGACTGCTCTTTGGACTGGAGAGGGAGGGTGAAAGGAGTGGGGGGAGGGGGAGAAGGGTGGGAGGAGGGGGAGAGGTGTGGGAGGAGGGGGAGGGAAATGGGAGGCTGGGAGGAGGTGGAAACTTGTTTTTTTTTTTCTCCTTTTCTCAATAAAAAAAGAAAAAAAACTGCAAAATGAAACATAAAATAAATAAATAAATAAATATTTTAATTAGCCAAATATACTTAAAGGCAACATTTAATCATCTTAAGAATTTTTCTTGAGGTATTAAATACTGTTTGCTGTTTTTAGTTGTTTTTATATTGTTGAGATAATATACCATGAGAAAAACAACTTATAAAAGAAAGCATTTGTTTTGACTGACAAGGTTTCATAGGATTGGAGTTTACAAAGCCAGACCAAAGGCATAAAGGCTTGGCAGTGTAAACAACTGAGAGTTGGCATCTTGATTCACAAGCTGTAGAGTGAGTGAGGCAGGCTGGGGATGGCACTAGTCTTTTGAAATCCCTGAGTTAACCCTCAGTCACATACCTCCTCCAATAAAGCCATACCTCCTAATCTTTCCAAGCAATCCCAACAACTGGGAACCACGTCTCCAAATTTATGAGCCTATGAGAACCATTCTCCTTTTAAACACCACACTGATATTATAGAATAAGTCTATTGTCTCTCATCAGTCCTGTCTCAACATAGCATACCTTTGTATTAGACAGAATAGCCTAGAAAATCAGCTGCCCTACAAGTAGTGTAAGATATCTGTAGTTCTTAAATCCCATACCCTTCTCTTAAACTTTATTGAATACTAAAGCCCAAGATCCTTTTCCTTGAATTCCATGTTTAATTTCCATTTTCAATTCATTTGTATTGAGAAATTCCTAGGACATCAGTGAGGTACACCTTGGAATGGGTCTTCTTGAGTATTTCCAGTGAAGATTAGTTTCTGACGCCATTCCTCCACGAACCACCTGACTTTAATACTCTGATTCGTTGTGAATTTTGGTTGTCTTTATTTGTGTATTTTTGAGTATAGTTTTATTCATTTCTTTTTCCTAGTGTATCTCTCTATTATGATCCATTGTCAATCATTTATATGATTTATATAGGGGAAGTAGCTTCTTCTTACCTCTGGATCTCAATCTGCTTTTTAGTAAATTTCAAAGCCCCTACAAAGGGCTGAGGGGCTTATTTAACATATCAAAAGAGACCTTTGTGAACACCAGGTTCTTTCTGCATTCCTCAGTCCCTACCCTACTGCCTACCTGGAACTCTCCAGTCAGGGGACTGGGCTGCCCTTACTCCAGAGACACTTCCCAACATAATCCAGGCATTTTGGTTACCATTCTCTTCAGTACCTTTAGCTTCCTAGATGCTGCATCTGATTCTTCTTTTCCCATTTGCCTTCCCCTCCATGTCTGTGAACATGGCCCTGCTCAGTATGGTTATAAGCACTCTGGATTCTCCCAGATATCTCTGCTTTTCTGAATACCTATAATAAAGTTTCTCCTCCACGGTATCTAGGAGTAGACATGTCTTTTCTTTTCCTTTTCACTTTTGTTTTCCCGTTCACTTTTAATTGGCCATGAAGTATCCATCAACGTTAGCCATTAGTTATAACTCTCTAAGCCAGGAAAACCGTACATCCCGGTGAAGGCCCATGAATCATGCTGGGTTATGTCTTAGGAACTACAGGCAAAGAATTTGAAGGTTTAGTCTATGCATTGGAGTGAGCTCTGTAAACACCATCCAAAGTATACTCCAAGTTTGTTTGCACTAATAATTGTACCAACAGTGTGCAGGAGTTTGGGAGGCAATTTAACGGTGATAAAGAAAATATGTTTTCATATTAAAATATTAAAAACTAAATATTTGCATAGAACAAACAGCAGGAATTATTGAACAGAATGAAGAATTTTTAAAATATATAATAAAGTACATTGAAAGTGCTCTGAATATATGAAGACTCATCTATCTCGTGATTTAATTTTATAAATACATTAAGTTTCACATAATTAATTTGAAATATTTCAGTTATACTACTGAAATTAGATAATTTAAAATATAAAAGGTAAATAAGTAGGTATAAATAGTAAAACAAAAATTAGAGTGTTTATTAGATGTTGATGAAAAACTGACTTAAACATTCCTGCTTTTTAGATACCACGATAGCTGGACTAGAGTTTGGATTAAGTTGACATGGAGATAAAATACTCACAGACTGTGATGTTGTGAAGATAGAGTCAGGTAATGGATATGTGGTATTTCTTTCTTTTCATTTTGATTCTGTTCTGCTTGTCTTCCTCATCTCTAGCAAGTGATTTTGGACTATCTAAAAAGAGAATATATACAATAGTCAGCGCATAATTATACACAAATATTATGTGTCAATCAAAAAGTACAAAATGATAGTTATCTACTCTCACATCGATTCTTACCTGAATTGCTGAAGAGTCGGATAAGAATGTTAAAGTAAGGCCACGTGGCCAGGGAAGCGGATACGTCAGTGCCGCCAGCAACGTCACCAGACCCGGCCCAGCCCGACTGGGCATGATTGGGTGTTGAGATCGCGTCGCGCTTCCTCCTCTGCTCGGCATGTTCAGGGCGGCTTGCTCTCTTTTCCCTTCGGCAGAGAAGAGACAATGGCGGCGATGGCATCTTTCGGCGCCCTGGCGCTACTCCTGCTGTCCAGGTTATGTTGCTGCTCAGAAGCCTGCCTGGAGCCCCAGATCACCCCTTCTTACTATACAACCTCAGATGCCGTCATTTCTACAGAGACCGTATTCATCGTGGAGATCTCACTGACTTGCAAGAACAGGGTCCAGAACATGGCTCTTTATGCTGATGTTCGTGGAAAACAGTTTCCCGTAACCCGGGGCCAGGATGTGGGCCGATATCAGGTTTCATGGAGCCTGGAGCACAAAAGCGCCCACGCAGGCACTTATGAGGTCAGATTCTTCGATGAAGTGTCCTACAGCCTCCTAAGGAAGGTTCAGAGAAATAATGAGGACGTTTCCATCATCCCACCCCTGTTTACAGTCAGTGTGGATCATCGGGGCATCTGGAATGGGCCTTGGGTCTCCACGGAAGTGCTGGCTGCAGTGATCGGCATAGTCATCTACTACCTAGCCTTCAGTGCAAAGAGCCACATCCAGGCCTGAGGACAGCATCCTCAGCCTTCTATTGCTTCTTTCAATGAACAGATGCTATTTGTGATGAGTACATTAAAAAAAAAAAAAAAAGTTAAAGTAACCCTAAAACCACAGGTGGTATAATATTTATAAGTGCATACATATTCATCTAGTTTTACTGTTTTATGAATTATAGTTTTATTTAAGTGGTTCATATGATTTATGTTATGTAAATAGATGGATTATTTAAAATGAAGTAAATTAACCTATATATGACTCATAAGTTTGGGTATAAAAGTAAATGACTTAGATAAAAGTGCTCTGTGTCAGTACGGAGATGATTCTGTCTTTGTTCAGACGAAGGCTTTGCCTTTCTAGTTGTTTTCCATATCACAAAGATCCAACACCCTCTAAGAGTCTGGCCTTTAGCAGTAAGAAACCTTAGATAGAATGAAGGAAAACTCTTGCTCACTGGAATAGATCTGTGACTGAGGCCTCATTAGTTGAGTTTTGTGCTCTGAGATAGTGAGTTGCTGCCTGAAGAATTCAGAATTATATTCACCAACTACAAATATACTAATTTTTCATCAGAAACAAAAGGTTCCTTAGGTTTTCATTTGCACCCAGGGATGTGTTTATTGCAAAGATTAAAGCAAAGATTAAAGACACCATTATTATTATTATTATTTCTTAAAATAATCCAACCAAGACACCTGCTCTTCAGCTACCTTCAATGTCCTCTCGACTCCCTGGGAAATTTTCTCTGATTATTCTCATGTTTCCTGATGGCACACAGAGTTCAGACTGTTGACTGCTGAAAGGCAGCCTCTGAAAGCCTGTTGTCACAGTGCAGCCTATAGAGATGCTGAGTAAAGACTCTCATGCCAATGATGATCCAGCCCAGAGCAACACTGAAGCTGCAGCCCAGGACAATGGCCACTCATCTATAGTTTTCAACAGCTTGCAGCTCTGAACACCCAGTTAGCAGCCACAAAAACACTGTGTAGAGGTTTGTATTTTAACCGCACATTTTAGCTTGGTCTTTAGGAAAGAACTAGAGTAAGAGGAGGAGTTAACAAAATGGTTTATTAAGAACTTTCTGTGCCCTGGGTCAGCCACATAAACCGACATAGGTTTCGTATTCTATGAGGTTGAGCTAGGTGGGTTTGAAGTTACCTATGTATCTGAAGATACACGATTTCAAATTCAAAAGAAAAATTCCACTTACAGCTTTATGTGAAAAGTTTTGTTTCCAGATCTCTGTCAGAGTTTAGACTTGCTAGAAAAAAAAAAATGGAAAGAAACATCATGACCTACAGCAGTGGTTGCTAAGGAGACCAGCTGCATAAAGGTTTGGGTTATTAATCAGTAATATCTTCCCAAGGAGTCTGCCATGATGGCAGAAATAGCACTACCTGGCCAAAATTTATTTCAATTAAATTGTATATATATAGGGATGTCTCATTAAAATTCACATCTCTCTATGTTTATAAATCTTTTGCAAGCTGTTAACAATTTACTACATATATTTTCAAGGATTGGAACAAGCCAGATGTGTTTTGAAATAAAAGAAATGAAGAAGAGAAAATCTAGGCTATGATGAGTTATCTTCCTGGAGGAGAAGGTCTGTGCAGGGTAGCAGGATAGAAAATGGATGAAAGGACAGTTCAAGAAATACTGGTGGGTACCCAGGGAAAGAGCCACCATGCAGGCAAGGACAGAGACACGAAAAGGATGGAGGTGGGAAAATCCTCAGAGTGCAGATGAAAAGAATAATAAAGGTCAGTGTCTAAACGCATCTGGAAGTCATTCCATCTAATTTGAGGTTTTACTAAACCTACTCAAGATCTACTTTGCATCATAAGTTATTAAGATAAAAATAAGCAGTTCTTAACATGAGAATGGGGTTACATAGTCATGGTTATTTCATAAAAAAAACACCATATATTAACATTATCATGCTTAAAAGAGATTTGTTCTTCATTTGGAAACAGAAAGATTAAACACAAGTGAACTTTAGCTAGTCCTGCCAATGAAACATTAAGGTAAGGCTTATTTTATCGTGTTTTGACTACATATGTTTTTATAAAATTTATCATACAAGTCAGGTAATTCAGACACAGTTTCATATCTCTTAATATTTATATAGCATATAGAGATGAAAGTTTTTATTTGAGAAATATTTGAACAAGTCTACTTCCTTACTCTAAGTTCTTGAAATTTTTGTGAGTAAAGAAAACAAGATTCTTAAAATGAAATGACATATCTTCAAATAAAATTACCCACACACATTAATTTTTGCATTATACCTGAGTCACCCCAGAGAATTATGGAGTGCTATACAACCTTATGTTTTAAAATATATAAATAACTGTGAACTAAGAAACAATCCACTTTTTCCTTCACTGCTTATAAACTGGGAAACTTGAAATTGATAGTTTTCCCATGAGAAACATATGCACAATATGTAAAACTGTAAACAAGAAAGGAAAAAGATAGGAAATTTGGAAAGAAATTTATATAATCTGGCATGGAAAATAATATGGTATGTTCTAAAATAACTAAACAAGAATTACTATGTGATCTAGCAATCATATTTAGAGTATTTTTTCAAACAGAATTGAAGTCAGAATCTCAGAAAGATATTAAAAGTCTATGTTCATCTTAGCATGATTCATGACTCATGACAGTCAAAACTTCATTCCAAGTTGTAGTGACATTTCATTTGTATTTTAATAAATGAAGCTTGCCTGAATATCAGAAGGCAAAAGAGCCTCACTACTCAGCTATACAGACCAGGCAGTGGTGGCACACACCTTTAATCCCAGCAGCCACACTAGTTAGCCATGGAGGCCAAGCAGTGGTGGTGCATCCTTTAATCCCAGCACTAAAGAGGTATATAAGGCAATATGAGACAGGAACTTGCTTTCTTTCAGTCTGAAGATTTCTTAGAGTTGAGAGTTCTTTAGTGCCTTAGCCACTTTGATTTTCTGCTCTTCAAATTGAACCCCAATATCTGTCTCAGGGTTCTTATGATTCACGCTACACTAAGTTAAATACTCATTGATGGGAAAATGTTTTATATTCATGAAGTGAACTATTATTCCATTTTTTGAATAAAGGAAATCTGTAAATTGTGGCAATATGGACAAATATTGATGCATAGAGCTTTTTGAAAAAGGCCAGTGATGCAGGATTCCACTAATATGAGGCGCCTAGAATAGACAGACTCATAAATAGAATTTTAAAAGTAGAGGAATATGGATCCCAGTAGAAATAAAATTTAGTTGAACAAGGAGATCACATTTCATAGAGCTCATGAGTTTCTGTTCATACCATTACAGAGTACACTTAAAATTTGTTAAAATTCCTTATTGGTATTCTCACCATAATAAAAATTAGTTTTTTAAAAAGGGAGAAATAAAAGGAAATAAAGAAAGAAAGAAGGAAGGGAGGAAGGAAAGAAGGAATCCTATAGATTTCTAGTGTTTAGCTTGCTAAAAACTGAAAGTAAATACTTGTTAGAGCTTTGAATAGAAATGGAAATGACCTTTTGCTGTGCACAAAGTTCACACTCCTCTTTAGTCAGGACACTATGCGAACTGTGTTTAGCAGGCATAGGCACAGAGGCAGCACAGGCCAGCACCTGGTGCAGATGGAGCTTTATCCCCATCCCAGAGGTCCTACTTGATGGGTTTCTTTCTGACCACCCAGTCCCTGCAGTGGCTTATTAAATAACCACTCTGAGGCTTAATATCAGTTACAATTGTTTGGTCAATGGCTTGGGTTTCTTATTGGCTAGCTTTCTCTTATCAATCAGCCCATTTCTATTCATCTATGAACCCCATTTCCCTTGAATCCCCATAATAAAGACAATCTGTTACTCTCACGGCACCTCCCTCATTAACCTGGTGTGTCTACAGGGATGATAAAGGCCTAAGTCACAAACAATCCCACACCAGTTTGGAATTATGATTAATAGAATGGCTATTTATTTAAGGAGGAAAAACTTACAGATCACCGTCACAGACAACAGCCCTCTGCACAATCAGGTAGGGAGCCTAGCTGCAGGAAATGGAGCTGGAAGCCAGAGAAAGAGCACCGAGGGCAGTTGCTGCTTTGTTAAAGTGAGAGAGAGACCACGCCCCAACGGGCTGGTATCTCAACAGCTATTGGCTGAAGGAGCAGAAGGAGCTCCTGCAACAGGTTGAAGAGAAAAGCCTCAAGCGGTTTTAAGCAGCTACACGTGGGGAGCAGGGGACAAGTTTTTGAAGAAGATATATCAAAAATAAAATTTTCTGTAGTTTTCTTATCAACAAACTACCATCTGACGAATTCCTACATTGAAAATTCTCAGTATCCTGGATGATTCAGTAAACTCATATTTTTTTTAAAGTGGGACAAGAATTAAACCTTTATTGTTGCTGACAGGCTTTATACTATTCCAACAGACTCATTGTCACACAAAGGCCAATCTAGTAAAGTTCTATGTGGCTCATCAATTAATCCTACTGGTCCTGGCTCATGTTCTAAGGCAGTTTGAAAGCCTGGTTCAATCTGAGTACATCAGGAATCTTGGATTAAATTAACAGTCAGTCTCGATATTTTTGCATTGATTAGTAAGTTAATGAGAGTGTCTTCATATGGGGCTTTGACCACTACTTTGAGGTCACCACAGTATTCCCACTCTTTGATTACCTTGAAGGTTTCTCCTATGTACCTGTTGGTAGGCAGAAAGCAGCAGCAAGAGAACACTGGGCACAAATCTTTCCTTTCCCCATCTTTAGGTCAGTTCAACCACAAGCATGGTTTTGTACGCCCCATTTTCTGCCAAGATGCTTGCTTAGGTTCCTGTCTCTGGGTCTGTATTTGTCTCATCTCTTAAGTTCTGGGGTAACATCCAGAGGTATCCCTAAATATGCCAGCCCAGGCACATGCCACAAACAACTCAACCAAACTGAGTTTATCTAGAGGAACTAACTACTCCATAAGCAAGGATTTGGAGAGATTTGAAAGCACTTCTCATGCATTCAGGACTTGTGGTTCTCCACTCCTAAACAAACA